TTGTGCTGAAAATGGCTTTAAAATTGTTTGAAATAGATATCTTACCAGCTTGTGTTCTGCTGGTCCTGTACATATATGTGTATGTGTAACACCACCGCTTGCCCCCCCCAAAAAACCAAAACACAAAACCAAAAAAAAATCACCCTACCCTGAAACTGAAGTCCAGTTCTGGACCCCTTTTATGCATTTTAAAAGTGAGTCTTTTTTTTTTAGGCGAAGTGGATCCAGACATACATCCTGTATCACTTAACTGTCCAGTACACAGATTTCTTGTAAATCTCCGGTACTCAGGTCACATTCTCTGTCAGTGATGGAATAAGAATTCCAAGTAAGTGGATGGATATTTGCATGCTGGTGGGGTATTTTTTGGGAGATCACAGATGGCCTTCAGCTTTGAGGATCAAATTTAACCGTGATTCTAAATGAGGACTAGAAATACCTTTCTTGCCCCTCCCCCTGCCCTCCCTTGACCAGCTTCAAGGTTTTTAAGTGAATTGGCCTCTATATTCCTTGTGCCTCTCTTGTAGCTAGGTCAAGAGTCATAGTTGTAAGTCTAGGCGTGTGCCAGAGACTTTGCAGGATTGAAGGCAGGTTGGTGAATAGGAAGGAGAGATTTCCTTTTATAAAAGGATAAACTTGTGGTTTTTATTCAGAGCTGAATCAAAGTGATTCATGTTCATGACTATCTTTCAATCCTGGAAGAAGTGTCCCACATCTCTAATCCTGGACCAGGTGCTTTCTGCGGAGGATGGCATGGTAGGCTGGTCCTTCCATCCCTGGGAATGAGACTGAGAGGTGGTCTGATTTTCTAGAGCTGCTGAATTATTCTCCAGAATTCAACCCCTGCATGATTTAATCTTGGTTCTGCAGAGCTTGTAATCAGAGGGATGCCTGGGTCTTTGCTGGTGAGGTGTGTTTGGTGTTGAGAGCTCAGCTGTGCCTGCTGCTGCTGCTGTGGTTCCTGGATTCACACATTAATAAAATCTGAACACAGTCTCTATTAACAGCTGTTCTCAATGCATAGGAAAATCAAATGCTGAGACTGAAGTACTTAACCTGAAACTGCTTTTTCTTCCAGGGAAAATGCGGCATGAGATTAAAAGCTTGTCATTGAGGAACCAAAGTATTGGCTGGATGTTATCTCTGTCTGGAGAAACCTTCATGGGAGTGAGGGGAAAAAAGAAGATGTCTCTCGAGAAAACCCATCGCTTCTGAAGAGAAAATCAGAAGAAGAGACAAACATTGCAACTAAAAGGCAGAAAACAGAACAAGTGAGAGAGACTGTGTCTGAGGAATGTCAGGTGAAAGCTGGAGAGAGGTGTGTGGTACCAGAGAGGAAGAGCGATGAGGACTGCTGGACTGAAAGTAAGACTTCCTTAAAAGACCCTTCCAAAAGCAGTGGAGAGAAACCTATTGCGAATGAGCAGCTTAGCTTCAGTTTCAGAGTTTCTTGTTGTTGTAGTGGAGTGATTGCCAAAATACTTCCTTCACAGGTGTGCTAAAGTACCTGTGTTTTAAAACAATTTAGCAAAGGCGAAGGGAGATGCATAGTTTATTTGTCATTTCAATTGTGTGTTGTGTGTCTTAGAATAACTGACTGATCTAAGCTTTTCCTGTATTTTCTCAAAAAAGCCCTTAATCTGCATTTACCTTAAACAAGTGGAAATACAAGACTGTTGTTAATTTCTGGGCACTGTTACCCTGAATATTTTTCAAATCAATGCATTTTATTGTGGATAAGTAAAGGTTGAGGTAGCTGGGCTTGTGGAGTGAGCTGATTGTAGTTTACAGCTACTTAAAGGGCCATTGCAAGGACAGTGAAGCCAGGCTCCTCTCAATTGTGACAGACAGTGTAAAAGAAGAGCAAAAGACAGAACTTGCAGCTTCGGTGGGCTCTGGTTGGGTGTTGGGGAGAGCTTGTTCCCCAGGGGGGTGGCACAGCCCTTGGGGGGATGGATCTTGGTCGTTGGGAGAGAGTAGTGGTGTAGAGACCTCCAGGGGCCCCTTCCATCCAGCAGTCTTCTCATCTATAATATCTTTCTACTGTGAGGAAAATGAAAAATAAAAAAGAAACCCTGTATAGCTGCAATTTATGTAGATTTCTTTTACTTGAAGATAACAGTAGTTTAACTGAATGTGTTTTTTCCTGCTAAAGCTAGTCCCTTGGGAAGATGGGACACATGAGCCTGCCAACGCGAATGTTTGCTTAAATTTGTGCTGTGCGTTTGAACTCTCATACTCTGAAGGTAGGTAGAGCTTTCTAGATGCCATAAAAGCATTAAAATTGTGAGTTGCAGTTGTGCATTCACAGGTTTTCTCTTAGGTAATCTAGTTTACAGCCATTGGAAATATTTTCTGTGTGACATATAATCCTGAAATGATTATAACTTTTGTTGTACCTCGGGCAGGACTTGAACAGGCCTCCCACACTCCAGCTGATTGGTCATCATTTTGTCCTGCGGTGTGTTTGCTCTGCCCCTTGCTTGCTCACTCTGCCCTGTTGTACCTCTTCTGGTCTTTGTACGAATTGTTCTCCTAGAGACACTCTTTCTTTTCCCAGGTATTTCTAAGGATTGTGCAGTCAAGGCTGTGATCTGTAGTTTTCTTAATTGTGTTATTTTTACTGGCTGTTACTGTTCTTCCCCTTTGCCGGAGATCAGAAGAGCCATTGGCATAGCGCTCATGAAGCATTGTGGGTGGCGGGCTGGTGGGACCCTGATCTAGAGGTAATGGTGCTTGTCCAGATGGCCTGTTGCTGCTTCCAGAATTGCCCCCGATATCTTTTGTTTTGTTCTCTACTCCCTTTGCACACGAGACCATGGCCTCTCCCTGTTTGTCTTTCTGCTGCTGAATTTGACTAGAAATCATCTGTTAGTGCTGAGCAAAGCCTTTCGGTAGCCACTGTGTGCATGCCTTCCAGAGCACTTAAGCTCCAGTCATAAATACCTGAACGGCCAGCACAGGTCTATATGTGAGGAGAAGGATCCAGACAGGCGATGTCTCAGGATCTGGCATGCATAAAAACAGTTGGACTCTGTCTCTGTTGAAAATGGAGATCACCTGAGCCATTGGGCAGCTAGTTTGGCCTCTGTAGGGGAAGAGAGCGAGCAGCAAGGTTGTGTTCTTGAGGAACTTGACTTGAGAATGCCGTTTATGGAAGAGCCTCCTCCTAGACCCTGTCCCTGACAAGCAGCTTGCTTAAGGTACCCTCCACGGCGCGAGCTGTCTGGAGACCTTGGAAAGGACTCATTGCTCTTGACAAGCTGTTTTTCCATCCCTGTGCTTGGTATATGGAAGCTGCTCTCAGCACTGATGCTGGGAGTTCTGGGGCCTTCTGTAAAAGCTCCGAGTTCATCTACTGGCTCTGGTTTTCCCAGGCTGTACATCAAATACAGCTTTTTTGAGCCTCAAGTGGGGCTCTTGTCCAGATTTTTGCTCTGAAACCATTCAAGAGCTGAGGACTGGGGTATTTCAAAAGCATCATGTTTCTCTTTGGGCTTACTGGGGAGGGATTGCAGTCATGCAAGACCGGTCGGGGAGTTCAGTCGTCTTTTGGGATGCTCTCTGTGGGACAGGAGGACAATTTCTTTGAGCTGCCTATATTTCTGGAAGGATTACCCACATCTGCCTTCCATCTGAAATACTGCTTAGTGGCACTTGCTTTTTGTTGGTGTGTTGTTTTTTTTTTTTTAAAAAAAAAAAAGGCTGTGTGTGTGAATAGCTGAGCATTAGTAGCTAATACACAGTGAATAATCTCCTGGTCGGAGTATTTGGTCTTACAATTAAAAAATACCCATTCAACATTACAATAATTGGTTCCCTTGAAGATTCAAGTGCTTGTTGATGGATTCCTGACTGATAAAATCCCTTCCCAGCTTGCTTAAATATTAAATCCTCTTTAAAGTGGCATTGAGATTACCTAGTGTGATTTCTTCCAATTAATCATGATTGTCTAAAGCATGTGTTTTTGTGGTGATTTTAATGCCCCATCCTTTAATGCATGTGGACAGGGTTTGCCTTATCTGTGATTAGAGTGTGCTGTCACCTGCTGTTCAACCAGGTATCTGCTGTAATCCCAGGTCCTTCTCAGCAGAGGTGTTATTCTTTGTATGAATATATATGCCTAAATGGCAAGATTTTTCACTGTCTAGGCTTCAAATGTTGTTTGGGGTTGTTCTCCCAAGGGAAGACAGAAGCAAGTGTGATGTTTTCCACATTAATTTGGTACCAATATCCGCCTGCAGTCCAGTTGTAGTAATTTGTTTCCCTAAATGTCGCCTCAAGGGTGGATGCATTGATGTGTTGTCTTTAGTGAAACTATTAATGCTTTTTACTATACGCTCTTACAGGCAAGTCTGACCTGGTAAAGCAGTGATTATTGTTACCTACACTGGATTCAGTGGGAGTATGTAGGGTGATCTGTACATCCTCGAGTAAGCTTTGTCCTGGGAGAGGAGTCTGTCTTGTTTGGGATGCAATAATCCCTTTAGTTTTGTAGGCAGGTGCCTTTGTGCTGGATCCCATGTGTGGGCTAGGAACGATACTGCTGGAAGCTGCCAAAGAGTGGCCAGTAAGTATCACGGTCGCAATAGGCAGGACCTTTGCAAGACGGCTTGTAGTTGCATCAAGAAAAAGCTGTACCACAGTTATACCAAAGTCCATTACTGGAAAGCTGGAACCAAACTGATCTTTCTAGACAGTTGTTAAGTGTTCTAGTACAAATGTTCCTCCACAGTAATGTAAAACAAAGTTCTACATACTTATGCAAGTGGGTGCTGGGAACCCTGGATTTTTACTGCAGGGCAAGGCAACTATGGAGTTTTAAAACTGCCTGGCCTTATCCTGGGAACGGAGGTGTCCATGGGACAGTACAGTCAGTTGTCAGTATTAGAGGCAGTGTGGTTGTTTGTAGCTAGCTGGGGTCTTCCTGTTAGGACATAGCCTCAATATTTCTACAAGTTACAAGTGTCTTGAGCAGACTAGAACATGAAAGGAGTGAAGATAGCATATACTTCCCCCGTTCCTCTGTCCTCTGGGTCTGTGTATTGCTCTGTGTAATGGTACAAGATCTCCCAGCAAGGGGTTTGTCTTGGAAGAACTGTGCAACAAGGCAGTTCTGTGAAGGGTTTATAAAATAAGTACACCTGGTTATCCACTAAATTACTTTTCTCTTTTTGTCTGAACAGGAAGCCTGTTACTGGGGTGCTGATATGAGTGATTCACAGTTAGAGGGTGCAGATGTGAATATTAGGACTGCAGGCTTGATGGATAAAATTGAGTTACTTAAAGCTTCTCTGAAAGGTGTGTCTGTAGGCTTTCCCAGTGAGACATGTTTGAAATTTTTTGTGGTTCTGGGATTATGAAGGTAATGTAGGTTCTCTTGGTGGGATGTGTGGTAGAGCTAACTCTCAATAAATAGCTGAGTAGTGACTCTGTAGTGCTAGTGAACAGATAATTATATGTTCTCTCCCCCTCTGAACTTTGGCAAGAATAAACTCAACAGAAGGCAATGAAAATAATAATTGTCAGACATGGGCAGTAGTTGTCTGTCTTAATGGTAAACTTGTGAATAACACAAAGAGTACATACCATGTGACAGTTTTTTGTGTCTAATGGGAACACAGCAAGGACATATCCAGATAAAATGTTGCTTGTAACTTAAATGTACCAAATGAGTAATAGTGGGGACTCATTAAGCTCAGTGTTGAATTGTTGATGTTTCGCAGTAGGAGTATTTTAAATGACGATCCCTGGAAGAGAGAATTTGTTTGCTCTGAGTTTGTGAGCCAGTCTGGGGAGGAGGTAGTAATTTTATGACCTTATTCTGGAGCTCAGAGCCTGAGTCTAAATTAATCCTATACGAAATTCATGACAGACAAAAGCTGGGTGTTTTTCCCTGTGCATGGGTGATGAACTATGCATATTTTTTTACCTTGCAATATTTATTATTATTTCTTTTTTATAAGAATGTGTATAACTTTATTTCTTACTTAAACGCTGTGATTGGCCTTGGCTTCTACGATAATGGAAGGTACTTTGATGTTAAGCTTTTCTAATACTGAACAAGTAATTGGTGTCTTTGTTACTGGTCAGAAGCTGTTATTTCTGCATGTTTTGAGGACTGTAGGTAACTTGTCCTTCCATTTGTAGATAAAATAGTTGTGCTGCAAGTGTTGATCCAAGGATGGTCCAAGAACCATCTCCAGTCAGTTCTGGAAAGGCTGGCATAGAATCACAGCAGGGTTTAGCTGGGAAGGGACTGCTGGAGGTCTTTAGTCCTGTCATCTGCTCGGAGTGGGGCTAACCCCAGAGCTGGGTCAGGTTGCTCAGGGCCTTGTCCAGTTGAGTTTTGAGCATCCTGAGGGATGGAGAAGCCCTATTTTCTTGTTTTCTCCTGGCGGCCTCCCCCGTGGCCCGTCACAGCCTGGTATGTGGCTGGCCGTCATCACCACAAGGATGCAGTGCTGCATCATGGTCAAGAGAACTGACTATTCGCAGGATGCAGAAACTCTGGGGAGATACTTCAAAGACACTAGCTCTGACAGAATCCAAGTGATTCTGGCTGTAACCAGATTCTTGGGGGGGAAAAACGGGGGATGGAGAGGAATTTAACATGTGGTTCCTTGCCATTCATATGTGTGTATCTGAACATCTGTGCTAAGTAAAGTGCTTGCAAGCTTAGCTATTCTTTTGCATTTTGCTTGTAAAGATGTGCTGTGTGTTGAGAAGCAGCAGTTAGTTTGGAACGATGCATTCCCTGTTAGGAGAGTCGTACTCTCTGCAATTTAAACCATGCTCTCGTGCATTTGTCTCTTCCCAGTCTGCATTGGGTTGATGGCTTTGTAGTGCCATTTGTGAGGATAAGTACAGAAGGAGCTATGAATCTAGGTGCATAACCCACAAAAGAGCTGGCAGACAGTTTTGTAAGGTGGATGAGAGCATAGCTGCTGTTCATTTTTCAGATAGTCGGATGTAAAGACCTGCCTTTATTCTGCAGCATTGCCATTGCCTTCAGAAAGCTTTGACACTGTGATTTCGGATATTCCATTTGGGAAGAAGTTCAAGATCACAAAAGACATACAGCTTCTACCAGATACTCTCCAGGAAATGGAGAGGTAGGTGTGGCCTTTGACATGCTTGGGCTTTGGTGTAAATGTCATGATGGTTTGCGATCCTAAGGGTTCAGTCAGCTTCAAGTTTGCTTTATTCCACTCTCCAGCTCTGTAATCTGATCCTGTGCAGGCTGTGAAAGTCTGAGTCCTTTACTTGTCCCTTAGAGGCTGTTGTAGCTTGTCTTGCAAGCTGTAGAAGTGCTGATGGCAGTGCAAGCTGACAAGGAATGAGCTTCTTGTGTGAGCCACACTCACAAATACTCTTTACAAGGCGTGATGGTGACAGAAAGGAGAAAGAGGAGAGGATGACCTAGACAAACTTAAAGCATGGCCAGGCAAATAAAGCAATAATCCTTTCTCTATTGAGGTCTGCTTATATAAAATAATAGGCTTTCCTTTTGGGTTCACAACCAAGCTTTTACCAGTCTGCCTTGGCAAGAAGGATCTCAGACCAGAAAATGGCGGTATGCATTTTCCTTTCTGTTAACGTGTACTGGAATATCCAGCTAGCCACCTGGTCTGCTTTTAGATGCCTCCTTTCATCTCTCACCCTGTCATTTTGTGGCAGAGTTGAGCCAAGCTAATAGCTGGCTGCTTCTAACGGGCAGTTCAAACCATCTACCCCTTTGTTTCATTTCTTGGCTGAAAACAAGCCCTTTCTGCAGGGTTGGTCTTCAGCTGGTGTTGATCTCGCTCACCCAATGCAGGAATGTCGTAGGAAGATGGTGAAGAAGGTGAGGTGGCTCCACAGAATTGCAGGGCAATCTTATGTCAGCTTACAGTGACCATCCCTCCCTTTGACTGTGCTTGTCTTCTGGTCTCATTTGCTCTGTTGGGCCATCCTAAATATTTCCTTGGGAAGGAGGAGGTGAAGAAGGGACCATTACCATGAGAGCCCCATCAGTAAGACTGTTCAATCCACTTGCTGTGAACAGAGCCAGGATAGTCTTTTTTTCCCCTCTTTCAAGGCCAAGTGTAATGTTTGCTCACGTACTAAGAAAAATGGATTACAAACAATGGTTAATTTTTCTGTTTCCTGAGTTTGAAAGCCATTAAGGATCAGTGGGACACAGAAAGGACAGACCTTTTAAAGTTTCCAAAGGGAAAGGCCAGCTTCAGAATTGCCTTACCAACCTGAGAAGCTCTTGCTGCCCTGGGAAGCTGTTCCTCTGCAGACTGGTGGGAGGCTCATGCAACCCAAAAACAGGATTTGAAGGTGAAACTGCCCTCGATTCTTGGAAGAATACCAAGAGCGAAAAAACTGGGTCTATATTCCTTACTAACCCAATGGAAAGAACTCTTGAGGTTGGAAATGTTTGGGAGTCAGGATAGGGCCCAGTTCTCCCACTTATGAAGAGTTATGAAGATAGGGAATTTAAATTCCATTTGGAGATGTAGGTTACTGGGTTGAGCCATGACCCTTAACATGCTTAGGTGTTTTATCAAATGCAACTGGCATCTGAAGTGTCAGCAGTGTCGAGTTCTGCACAGATGAAAGAATGCCAGGCAGGATGAACACCTAACCTTTATTTTTCCTGCAATTGCCAGAGTACTTCATGTTGGAGGCACTATTGTATTGCTGCTGAGCCAAGATCTCCATAAGCGCATGGGTGGCATTACCAAATGTGCTGAAAATTAGTTTCGTAATGCCATTTCTGATGGTGCAAGTGAAACTACCACTGCAAAAGCCCTAAATATTGATGGGAATTCTTCCTGCTTGGTGAATGGTGCTGAAGAATCCTTTCTCAGCAGCAGACACATACATTTTGGGTCTCTGATGCCAGATGGCGTCTATGGAGTTAGTCTTGGAAAGACAGGTACTTTCATATACAAATACAGGAAGATCTCTACTGCTGGGAATCAGCAGGTTTCTTGCACAGTGCCGAAGTGAACTTGAATCCTGATACACTTGAAAAGCAGCATGGCGGTGATCTGGTGGAACCCTGCTGATCTGAATGAACCCTGTGCCATTTGTTAGCTCACCTAACTTTCTTTGGATGTCCTAAGACATTGCTTTTCTCCCTTCAGTTTTTAGGAGAGGTGGAAGATGCCTACTAGTGTTTCAGATGTTTTTACTGTAAAATACTGTAATGAGACGAGAGTCCTCAAATCCTTGTTTAGGCAAAGCCTCTCAGTATTGGGAGGAGTTTCTTTGGGAGAGAAAGACTTCATTTGTAGAACTGTGAAAACAAATGTGGTAATATTAAATGTAAATGGATTTTCACCTTCAGCAATATTTTCAGGAAGCACATCTTGTCTGAAGAAGTTCCCAGCTCTTTGAGGCTGAATATATGCTTTACCGTGTGCCTTACAGTCGTGTATTTTGTTTTAAAGCTAGTTTCTGATGAATATGAAATGTCACTATTGAGATCTCTTGGAGTGGAAAATAAACTATTTTCTGTGTTAATTCTTTGCAGCGTTTGCATGAGTCTAATGGGTATGCTTTAGCTTTTTATGGTGAAGAGACTTATTTCTATCAAAAATAATGCTTTTCCTCACTTGGTAATGTTACTCCAAGGGCACAATGTGGAAGGTGGAAAAACTTGCCAAATGGATGAACTATTAGAAGTGACTTCTACCTGCAAAGAAGCACATGGAAAAATTCTCCTGAAAAGAGAGAGGTCTTAGCAGTTCTTTTATTCTATGCAAAAGGTATTTGTGCAGGGGGAATAATCTAATTCAATGCTTTCCCATGGCTGCTGAGCTGACAGGAAAGTATTTTTATAGAGAATTACTGCAGATAGCTTTCAGATGCTATTTTGGGCAAGCATTTGCAACTTGGCAAGCTGTGATGGGCTTGTGCATTCTGTTCCTCTGCTGTAATTAGTACGGAGATACAATTAGTAATGTTTGGGTTTTTTTTTTTTCCTTTGGTTTTTTTTCTTGATTCTGACAAGGTGCTTTGGTTGGGTAAGGGAAGAGACTTCAATCTAATTCAAGAGACTAAAACTTATTGTTGTTAAGAACTGCTTGTGGAGCCCCCCCAACTTTATACAATGCTGAGGTGTCTTTTCTATACAGTTGTCATACCTGTGGGAAGGGGCCTCTGGTGGCCTCCAGTCTCCCCATTGGAGCAGGCCTATTGCCAATGCTAGATCACGTCAGCTGGGGCTTTGTCTAGCCAAGTCTTAAACCTCCAAGGATAGAGATCCCTGCCTCTCTGGGTGCGTGTCCCAGGGGACACCACCGTCCTGGGGGAGAAACTTACCTTATGTGTGAGCATCCCAAGCTGCAATCTGTGGCTGTTGTCCCTTGCTGCATTGTCTGACACTGCAGAAGTTTGGTTCTCATGTCTATAACTGCCTTTCAAGCAGTCACAGGCTTCTGATAGATGCCCCCTCCGCCTCCTTTTCACCAAACTACCCAAGCTTGGCTCCCTCCCCTCACAGGCACTGTGCTCTGGGCCCCTAACCATTTTTGCAGCCTCTGCTGGCCCCTCTCCTGTTTCCCCACATCCCTCCTGAACTGGAGGACCTAACACTGGACACAAATCCTGGTGAGGCCTCACCAGCCCTGAACAGAGGGGCTAAAAATCGCTCTTCTGGCTCTGCTAGCCATATGGCTCCTAGTGTAGCCCGTTTGTCTTACCTGCAATGGGAACATGGTTGTGGCTAATGGTCAGCCCATTGTCTGCTGTATCACCAAGCCCTTGTCAGCAGGGCTGCTGCCCAGCTTGAATCTCCCAGGCTGGCTGAATGCACGGGGCTGTGTCACCCCATGCACAGAGCTCTACTCATCTCCTCCTTGAACACCACAAGGTGCTACTTCTCAAGTTGACTGAGGCCCCTCTGGGCAGAAGTTCTGCCATTCATTATGGTAGCCACCCCCCCAGTTTAGTGTCACCCGTGGCTATTTGTGCTCTTCAGCCGAGGTGGAACCAAGTTAAACCTTCTTGGTGTTACATTAGATGTATAAACCACCTGGAGAGAGTATTTCTGCCTTGATCTGTGTATGACAAGACAACCACATTAACAGGTATGAGCTGACTCCAACAGGACCTAACTGTTTGCTGAGAAACACTGCTCTGTGCTCAGTGGTGAAGCCAAGCACAGAAATGCAGGGAAGGCTGGCCCCAAAGCTGTGCTTAGTGCTGATGCTGGTTTCTCCTGCCGTTGCTTCCTGGCATCTTGATTGCTCCCAGATCAATTGATCTGTTGGGTTTTAGAATACTTTGTATGGTTGTGTTTCTTAGCCTAATTTGTCACTGACTTTTTCTGCTGTCGTTTAATTGATGATTACTGCATTAAGGCAATACTTCTCTGTTCCACCACCCTTGCCTCTCACCTCCCCTTCCTTCCTCTCCCACCCCTTTGCCCTTCAACCAACCTTTCTCTCACATCTCCCTTCTTCTCTTCCCAGCCCTATGCTCACAATACTCTGTATCTGACCCTTTTCTCCCCCACCATTCCCTTTTGTGTTCATCTTATACCATCCATCCTTACTGCAGAATTGGCTTCTCTGATTGGTCTGCTCCGTCAGCAGTGTCTGCTCAGTTCTTGACAGAGCCCGTGCCCTCTGCAAGGCAGCCTGGGGGACCTTCCAGGGGCTTCCCTGTGCCCAGCAGGTGTGAAACACTGCTCTGGCAATGAATGTATGGATGCCATGCATCAAGGGCAACACTGGCTTTTAGGTGATGGCAGAGGGTTGTAGCATTGGATGAGTTGTGACAGATGCATCAACATAGCACGGAAGTCTCTTAATTGTGGAGACTGGCTCTGTCACTTTGAGTGCTGTCTGACAGAGCAGTGTGGTGCTTTCATCTGTTAACTCGCATGTCCCTGCCATTAAGCACTGGAAAATGCAAAGCTGCTCTCCTTCTAGCACCTCTCCATCCCCCTGTTGCCATGGATGGCTTCTTGGCCCAAGCAGCAGAGGTTCTCTGGGGCTCTAACTCCAGCATGCTGCAGTGCTCCATAGGGATGCTTAGTGCAAGCACTGTCCAGGCTACGACCCTCCTGGTTTATGAACTTTCTCTAGCTTGCAAGAGACACCATTTCCAAGCCTTGAAATTGCAGTTGACACAAATGCTTTTGACAGAGGCAGGTATTTTACTACAGATACTGTAGCTTGACAAATGCCTCATAACCAAGAGACCATCCAGGGATGGACAGGAGTAATTTAATCCTTCTCACAGTGCAGCTCAAGTGCTTAAAATGGAAATTGTGGTTATTTACAAATTACACAGGAACTTCATGTACAAAGGATACACAAAGAGACACAGGTACATGCTGATTTAAAAGAAAAAGGTCTGCTTGGACATTTTGGGAGGAGGGGGGCACCAAAGCCTTCCTTTAGGGTAAAGTGCAGAAGGTGCTAAATTAAAACATTACAGATGATGTCCTGAGGAAGGGGGTATGATTCTGACTAGGATTCATTTGGCAACAGTGACTTTTCCTTAATTTCTTTATGTACAGATCCTTGAAAAATAGAAATAGCCCTAAACTCTTACAGCACTTTCCTCCCCCTTTTACCTACCAGTGCAAGTATCTTCCTCTCCATGGACTTGGCATGCTGAACTGAAGCATCTGATCCTGAGCCATCTCTGCCCTGAGAGCTGTCTCCTTTTCAAATCTCTGCTGGGCAGTATGGTTTTTTAACATGATGGTCAGATTTTGAAGAATGAGATTTCCAATCAGTGCTTGGAATCCTGAGTTTAGTTTTCTCTTCACTTCTGCTTCTTCGAGTAAGTCCTGAAAAATACTGTTCAGCCATCACTGAAGGGTGTTGGTGGCAGGTGGGCAGTCATACAGAGAAGTGTCTGGTGGACTTCAGCTGCATAATGTTACCCCTGTTAACAACACGGTAAGCTGTGCAAAGACATCTGGCTGCTACTGTAAATCCCAGACTGCACCAAGCACAAAATACAGACTAGGTGTATCCATGTTCTACATCATCAGGAAGACTATAGACGAATGTGGGGAGGTGGTTTAGGTCATATGATATGCTGGCTGCATAAGTGCACAGAGATATAATGCAAAATATTCCTGTAAATGAAGTAATCGCATTGTTATTTTGAGATGTAGCATAGCGTGAATAGCAAAATCAGTGTTGGGCCTTACTAATCAAATACCTTGCACCCAGCTTTGTTGGTATAAGTTGTGTTGAGTAGCACACAGATGATAATTACCAGCATTCATAAAGTTTTCGTGTATTACCCAGTTATGCAAGGCTAAGCCCTAGCTCTGTGGTTGTGAATTGCATCCAGCAAACTTCTTGGTTGCTGCTTTTAAGAATAAGAGTCTCCTCTGACTTCAATCATGCCTGCCCTTCAGACAGAGCAAGGTAGCCAAAGCCTCCATCTGTGATCAGATCTGACCCACGGGACGCAATCACATCACGCAAGCTGATGTTGTAATGCCAAATCCCCTCTGCGGGAGCAGAGCCTGCTGCACGCCTCAGAGCAGCCGGGGGAAATTGTTTTGCGTGTGCTGTGTGTAATCTGATCTGGAGGTTATTGAGCAGGTAATCTGCCTCCATGGGCGGCCCTCCACATACCTCTGCAGAGCAACCGTTCAGGCTAAATCCCTCTCCAGCGCTCTGCCGACACCTTTCTCCCAGCTTAGGATTTTTGTTGGGTCACTTTTCCTTAAGTGTTTTCATTAAGCTATGTTTTTCATTAAGCAGCTAAATTAGCCATGCACAATGAGCCTTTCCTCAGGCCTGTGCATTCCAGATGTATTAAAAAAATATAGCTGTGCTTGCATTACAGCTGCTCAAATCAAAATATTTCCTCTGGTACAAGAGAAGGTGTTGTGCTTAGCCTTATGAGTTTGGATGGTTCAAACTCATGCTGGCTTCATGTTCGCAGATTTTACCTTTCCTCCCCCTTTAAACAACCTCTGATTTTATGACTAAGACTTTTTTTTTTGAAGTATTCCCCTTTCCTACCTCAGTGTTAAAAGAAATATTTAGTCCACCATCAAGGACTGCAAACTGCAGCAGGGGACCATTCTGTTCTGGAGAAGAGAGAGAGCGCTTCGCATGTAAAAAGGAGGGAGCCGTTGTTTTAGCCCCGTGGTCCTTTCCTGCATGAGGCCTAGAGCATTTATCACAGGTTTTTTGTTTCTAATTATTGGTTATTCCACTTGTATGAGTAAGCGACTTGCTTCATGCAAGGCACAGTAACTGAAGATCAGAAGGAAAGGCATGCTCCCCTTACTGGCAGTGCACACTGCCTACCCAAGGGAAACCTGGTTAAGCCTTCATCCATAATTAGCGTGCTAGAACAACACATTACCTGTCGTCAAGAGCAGCAGATCTGCAATGTGCAGAGTGAGGCTTTCATCCCAAAAGAAGCTGACTGCTGCCACGACGCACCTGCAGAGAAGAACAGCTGCAGCCATGCCCAGGAATCCGGCCGTGATCCTTCTCAAGTCTGTTTCCTCCAGACCCAAGAAATTAAGAGCGGGTGTTACCACAGACAAGCCTTCCACTGTAGGAGGAAGTGGAGGGACACCTAGAAATAGCCACGAGTGCAGCTAGCCTGTGCCAGGCAGACCCACAGTAGGAGCAATCCCAGACATACAAGTGAGTATTTGTAAGTAGAAAGTGATCCTGTAGCAAGGCTGCTACAAACTAGTGATTTTGCAGTTGTGCTATAAGCTATTATATGAACCATATAATCATACAGCTTCAGCCATATGACCTTCAGGATGTGGGTGCAGTGTGGTTTTATGCAGAAACACCATGATGCACTTTGTTCTTATTTCCTTCTAGAGTTTAAATTTAAAGTAACTTGGATGGACAGAAATGCTCTGGTTTCTAAATGCCGGGGAGTTTCCATGCAGACAGGTTCTGCCATAATTGTTTAGCACGTGGCTTCTGTTGTCAGCTTCTGACAAGTCTCCTGCTGGACCTTTTCTGGTGACACCAGAACGCAGGTTTTCAAGCTGGTGTCTGCAGACCCCTGGAGAGGCGAGGGGAGAGGTGATCTGCCTGTGAAAGGCAGCTAAGAGCAGGTTATATTTAACAAGCTTAAAAACCCTTGTGTGTGATGTTCACACTGTCCTGGACCAACCATAGTGGCCTGCAAGTAAAAATGAGGGTGAAAATTGCTGATGTCTGGGCCCCAGTTGGATCCTGCCTCCTCAGGCCCCTCCTCTGCAAACTAGTGTCTCGTTGTGTTTTTCACGTGAAAGGGAGAGCATGAGCCGTGGGCCTCGCCAGGGAGGAGTGGGCCGTGCTGAACAGTTATGGAGCAGATGCCATTTGTCCTGGTGGATCATCTTCATTGGGTTGAAGGGGATGTTGCACAAGTGTACTGGCTGGGGAAGACTGGTACTTGGTAGCAGCGCGTCTCTGAGTGATGCCTGCTGGAGAGGAAGATGAGGCGTTCCCACACCAGGTAACCAAAAACAGCACCGGTCTCCCCTCCCAGCGCTGGGAATTAACTCCCTTTCCCACAGCTAGTCCTTGTCACCTGTCCTCCTCCCCATCTTTTTACCATCTGCTCAACTCCTGCACACCCTTTCCCCCCTAAGTAATCAGCTCTGCCCAGCTTCTCCCAGTAACAGCACCCATGTCCTGGATCCTCCGGAGACCACCAATGGCCAGCAGCACTCGTAAAACATTATCTACTACACGGGAGCCTGACTTCTTTCCTCCCCCTTGTCCCTTCCAAAAGGGTACTGTTTCTCTCTGAAAGACAGATGAGTATTTCCACACAGATACGTAGAAACATGGGGAAATGCTTACTACTGAGCTGCCAAGCAAAGGCCATCAGTGTTTTTCCTCTCATGCTATAGTCGTGCCTCTCCTGGCAAAGACAAAACCTTCCCAGAAAAGGCCTGTGCTGCAGCAGGAGAAACAATGCTCTGACTAATGCAAAATCACGGGCAGGAACCCTGCGTGCTGGGAACTGGCTATTGCTAACTTCTCCCAAGCAGCCCGTGCTGGCTGGTGGCAGTGCTGGCTGAGCCACGGAACTTGCGGGGGAGAGAGAAGGAAGGGGGAGACAGGCTGGGTCTCACATAGGCTTTATTTTTTGCAAGGCGGGGGCAGGGGCTGGGGGGAGAGGAAAAAGCAGTGCAGGGGTCTGACTGGGTTCCAGTTGCCACATGCTGCACCACCGATCGGTATCCCCAAAGGGCAAACACCACGGAGACGTGCCCTACCTCGCCCCTGCAGCCATTGCTGCCCTGGGGCACCATTTCCCAAAAAAAAAAAAAAAAAAAAAGACTCCCACATTCTTTGCAAAGCAAATGCCAGCATGAGCTGTCACTGGCACCTTGCTCCTCGGTGTGACGCCACGGAGGTGGCTGCTTTAAAAGAGTCTCGGGCTGTGCAGCCACTTACAGATGAACTAGGCATGCAGTGCAAAGGGTCTCATCCTGCATGGGTGCCCCTCCTTGAGCCACGGTGCTGGGTGCTTGGGAGGGTGGAGCTGGGCTTGCTCAGCTGAACGGGGAGCAACCAGCAAAAGGTATCCCAGAACAGACAGGAGTCAGTGTGGGATGCCGCAAGGAAGTGGTACCCAAAAGATGCTGGCTGTGGTCGGGAGGGGGCAGGGGACAGACTCTGGGGAGGTGTTAAAGAGGAGGAGAGCATGGAAGAAGCCAGATCTTCAGACTGTTGACATCATGCTGGAAAGATTTATTTTCTTTTTTCTGTGAAGCACAATGTGGGTGTTTTTACTAGAACAGAGGAAGCGCAGGCAGCTGCGATGGATAGAAAGCAGGATTTCAGGGGAAAAATAACCCTGCTTGCTTCATTCATAACCATTTCTACCCAAGCAGAACTTGGCAAGGACATAACACGGGAACAACTATAACCCATTTCCCCTTCAATGAGATAAAAATGAAGACTGAGAGGCAAGAGCAGGTGGGTGACAAGGTTATTGGTGCTCCTCAGCAGGATGTCTGTTAGCCTTTCTGGACAGAGCTCAAACTCCCTGGCATTTCCTTCTGTAACTCATTCAGAGCTGCTACTACTCCCGAACTTGTCACAGAGCCCAGTCCCCTTGGATCGTCTCTCAGAGCAGCTGTGGCAGCCCTGTCCAGCTAAATTACACCTGCTGCTCTTCCGCAGCAGAAAGCAGGAGAGCACACCAAAAACCTCAGTCATGCGCCAGGAAAAATCACAGCGGCCTGAATCGGATTCTGGCAGGTTTGAGACCATTTTACTTGTGAGAGCAAAAGTAATAAAAATGAAGCCAAGGACAGGGATGTGCAGCCCAGGGCAGCTCGAGGGACAAATGCACTGACAAACACTATGCAGTTTCACAGCCATCACTGCTACACCTGCCAGAGCTCAACCCCCCTCAGCTCGTTCTCTGCTCTGATAATTACATTGAAATGGGGCCATGCCCAGCTCCACATCCGCACTCACCTTCTCAGCAGGCAGGACGGTCCCCCATGCTAACATCCTTGGCAAAGCAGGCAGGAGCAGCGAGCAGACTGCATCTTTGTGCCCAAAGTTGCCCCTCATCCCACTCTTTTTATTTCATCCATCAGTCACTAGCAGCATGAGCGTGGTGGTAAAAGCGGTGCCCGGTTTGCCGGCACAGAGCTCAAGAGGTGCCCTAGGACCTACATGCCGCAGAGCCACGCTCCAGGGATTGCACATCTGGGGTTCCCACAGCCATCTGGCGTTCCTCACAGCCATCTGGCACTTGTTCCCTGCACAGAGAGGGTGGGGGGCACAGCTGGGGATGGAGGCAAGCACCCACATGCCTCCTCCACGCTGGAAACCCATATGCAAGATGGGAGCGGAAGCGGGACTGGCAGCGCTGGTCTAAGAGGAGAGAGGGTGCACACTTTATTCCGTGGGGACATGCACAACACTCCAAAAAGTCACAAAATAAGAGGAAGCGGTCCTGCGGGTGAGGGGAATACATTGCCCAGCCAGGGTGAGTTGGATGGGTGCACACAGATGCTGCGCCAGTGGTGCAGGGGACTGGCAGGTGCACAGCATGGTGCAGATGTGGGGACATCCATAACGTGTGGTTCCCATGCCCTGCAGGGGATACCCAGCAGGAGCCGGGCAAGGGCCCCAGGAGCTCCCGCGGGAGCTGGCACCAGAGGCTGCGGACAACCGGGCAATGCTGGGATCCCGGTGGGTTCCCAGTTTTGTGTAGTGGAGCAGGGAGCACCGAGTTCCCACGCACCGACGTGCCGGGAAGTGCCCTGTCCCAAGCTAGAGACCCGGGGCTGGTCACTAGGGGAGAAGGGAGGTGGTCCCCGGTGTACGGGCACAGCATGGGGGTGCGGTCCTTGGGCTCCGGGTGCGGCAGGGGCCCCAACCTGTATGCACAGAGGGGCTGGCTCTGAGGCGGGGTCCCCAGCTGCATACACAGGGGCTGGTGAATTTGCGGGTCCTCAGCTGCAAATGGGCTCCGGGGATGGGTCGCGGTTCCCGTTCCAAGGGGCTGGCTC